AAATAACTGTCGCTATTTGTTTCGGTTCTGCTATCGTCATCACAGGCTAGCAAGACTTTAACAGCAGAGTAACCCAGATATATGACGTCATAACTTAGTTGTTATGGAATTTTAAGTAAACACTGACATGACGTTTGAACAGATTTAGAAAGTACACAGAGCAAAGGATGAATTATTAATCTTGCGTACTAGCAGTCATTTAAACTGTTGAGACATTCAGCTCTACTGATAATACGAAACAGCATTTTTCTGGTTTTATTGGAAGCAGAATTTAAGGCCAATACGTTATTCAATCACCCTTTCCGCCCTTGTTATAGAACTAGAGTGCTGTAAGAGTGCAAGCATGCGTAAAATATGACATTTAAACTTTCAACGTTGCCATCGTGCTGGCACCGAAAACCGACAAGGCGAATTCGTAAGACCACAAAACAGCAGTTTCTACGTTCTTCGAAGCTGATTTCGAGAAAAATCGATTTGTCATGATGGAGCTGCTATCGAGAAGTTTTATTCGAAGAACAACGAACGTCCTCCGTATGAGAATGTGATACAAGGCCACGGATTTCTGATCTCACCGGATAATAATATCTGAATAGATACGCAATCATGTGTCCATAAACCATCGCAGCTTCAGCCGTGATCCGCAGCAACCAAAACGTACTGCAACAGAATTACTTGAATATGATCAGTGATGGTGCTTAAACGCCACAAAACACACTCATAAATTGTTGGACTACATTTACATGCCAAATGTTAATTAGTTCATAGGTTATGAAATATTCCTCTTTTCCTGAAGAAAAATATACCGCCCATCCATTTTTAACACTAACAACAACCACGAGCCAGATTGAGGATCCGATCGAAAGAATATTGGGCACCTTTAAATTGAGGCAATGAAGATATTGCTCGGATGAAGAAATGGCAGGAACAGTGAAAAAATATCTTGAATCTGATGCCCGGACGCTTCAGAGGAAGAGTGAACTTGCAACATGAGACAATAAATGAATGAAAATGAACGATGAACGAACGAATGAATCACTGTCTGACGGCACGAGATGAAACTGCTGGCGTTTCTTGTTAGACGATCCCTGTAGAGTGAATGATGTCCATTTCTTGCTGTTTCCAGAGAAAATAAGCCAAGTTTTCGTCAAGATGCAGATGACAATACAGAAATTATGACATATTTTTACACTTTATACATTCACTGATCCATAACCATTCCATTCGTGCATTGAATCATTTTTCAATCAAAAGAAAAACGATGCGGTGAAATAATTTCATCGTGTTTTATTTTATGGGGAAATAAAAAAACAATAGCTTTCAAACACTGATTATGGATCTGAGATGAGACTGCTCATTTTACTCTGCTTTAAATTATGCTGCCTCATCAGTCGATCATTCCATGGATCAAGACAGGTGTTCAGTACAAGGAAGACACCCTTCATCTCATATTACTTTGTTGCACCCTCCTACTTTAGTCATTATTTACTTTGAGATGCGAACGGCGACGAAGTTTACAGAGAAATGATTTTGAATAATATAAGTTTCACGCATTCTTCACAGTAGAGGCCGATAGATGAATAAACATTTATCAAACGAATTGGCCAACTCATCAAAAATTTATAAACTCGTGTTTTCACAGTAACTACTCTTCAAAACCAGCTCTTCAGAAAACAGTTAAGAAGCAACGCAGAATGTTTTATAAATATAAAGAAATTATTTTGATTTGTTTCTGATTCTAGCGCAAATTAAAATAAAACCTAAATACATTCATTTACATCATAAAAATACAAGCATCAGCTAAATGAGGTATATTGGACGGTCTGAGTTATAATTAACTGAATCTTATTTTTTGGACCAAGTACCAGGAATACATACGGTTAACCGTTTATGCCATTTCAAAAAGAATCGACAAAACTTTCAAAAATATAGAATTAAAAATTCTGGTTCGTTTGATCAGTGAAAACTTGCTGCGAGTATGACGGGAAGAAAAGTCGCTAATATCATGCAAGAATGAGAGATTCGCTTGTTGGAAGAGAAATTACTGTAGAAGTGTTGCTGTGCGCTGATAAAGTCAGTTTTGAGGTCGAAGGTTCTGCTTTCAGAATCGGCTATTTTTGTCAAGCCTTTAGCATTTTCTTTACTGTTTGTTTCATATTTTACAGCTCTCTAAATAGATGACAGGAAAGTATGAATGAACTTATCTGTTCATGCAGAGTCACAAAACTTACTTGAAAAGTTAAATTTAACTTGCTAGATTACCCACAGACTGACGGACTCAAGAATGAGACAAAGTATAAAAATTCTAAAAGAAAACCAAATACCGTGAAGGCGATTCTTCAAAGCATGGTTCTCGTTTAGCAGCTCTTCTTGCACTTTGTACAGCTGTAACAAAACAATTGTACAAACACTAATTTTACTGCAACTTATTACTTCATCAAGTGTCGTCCGCAGCTGTAAGTTACTCTTTTCCATTTCGGTCAGTTGTTTTCCCTGAGCATCGTATGTCGACTGCAGCTGTTGCAAACTCCTTCGAGCATCCAACTCCTTCATTTCAAGAATGGTCACCTTCTCCGCGACATCCACTGATATTTCCTCATGGCTAAAACTGCCGACGACAGCACTGTCGATGCCGCCAGTTTCTTTCATTCTCTCTGCAGACAGAAAGAGATCTTAAGTGTGATGTACATAGGAACAGTACCTGAATAAGCAGATATCAAAACTTCCAGTTTGTTAGCACGTTCCTTGGCCAATGCGAGACTTTTCCTGAGGTAGTCGTTTTCGTTTCTTAGTGTATTCAGTCCATCCTGTAAAAGCAGAATTAAGAAATATGAAATCAGCAAAATTCTGTTAAATATATGAATAGTTAAACTCATAATAGTGATTCAAAACACTCTCTTGAGTTGCGCCCCCTCCCCTTAAATAGAAAACTGCTAACTCTAAGAAGAAAACGAGATAATCTAAAATTCCAATTTGAAGTCATAGATCTAATCGTTTCAGTGAATAGAGCACTTGTCAAAAAATTTAGCCATATCCTAGTTACATGAAAGTGCTAACTGATCAAAACAGAACTACAGGTCCTTTGTAATAGTACACAGAACATTCCCCATGAGTATACGTAATGAATTTATAAAAGGCCTTGAGCAGTAAATCCATAATCTTTCGCGCATCGCTTACATTATTATGTGCCAAAAAACATAAGCATACAGTTCACCTAGCTGCCATTTACTCTTTAATAACCTTTGTGAAAACAGAGAGAAATGAGAAATGTTGAATAGTTTGTTCAACTATGCCATATGCTTATAATGCTCAGTAGTGCTTTTCGACTGCGGGAGTAAACTTCTCGATGGCACCGGTCCCTCGCCAAGACAGGAAAATTGAATGGTTTCGATTATTAGGTGCGATTACACCAGGTCACTACACGAAAGAGTTATTTCGTCTGCAGTTTGCTTCCAGGCCATCTTTCACGTTACGTTGTAAAAAGAGTTGTCTTCTGATAGTCTTATCGCACCCTATCTAATTTTATGATTTCTATACAACTATAGACAAGGCTGGATGTTAACACAGACGTGAAACAAGTTCCAATTATTTAGCTGTGATCAACTCAATCGCTCGGTTTTGGAGACAGCTAAACATTATCGGTCAACATTTTCGCA